GCACAGCCAATAAATAAATAATGAAATTTTTAATTTTTTAAAAAGAAAACATCACACACAATGATTAAGAATAAGCCAGACTGGATCCAAATTCCTGCCTTGCCACTCCTTTGCATGACCTTGGATAAGTCACTTCACCTTTCTGTGCGCAGTTTCCTCAATTGGTAAGGAGGATATTAATAGCACCTACCTTACAGGGCTGCTGAAAGTATTAAATTAGATTATTTCCAGCACTTAAAATGTACCAATACATGTGAAGCTGATATGGAAAATAGTATGGAAGTTTCTTTTAAAAACTAAAAATAGAACTACCATATGAGCCAGCAATTCCACTCCTGGGTTTGTATCCCAAAAAAGCAAAAAACACTAATTCAAAAAAATACATGCACCTAGTATTCATAGCATTATTTACAATTGCCAAGAGATGGAAGCAACCTAAATATCCATCATCAAATGAATGTATAAAGAAGATGCGGTACATATACACAATGGAATACTATTCAGTCATAAAAAAGAATGAAATTTTGCCATTTGAAGCAACATGGATGGATTTGGATGGTATTATGCTAAGCGAATGAAACAGCAACCCACTCCAGTGTTCTTGCCTGGAGAATCCCAGGAATGGAGGAGCCTGATGGGCTGCCGTCTATGGGGTCGCACAGAGTTGGACACGACTGAAGCAATTTAGCAGCAGCATGCTAAGCAAAATAAATCAGACAAAGACAAATATTGCATGATATCACTTACATGTGTAACCTAAAAAATATGACAAGCTAGTGAATATAACAAAAAAGAAGGTTCACAAATACAGAGAGCAAACTAGTGGCTACTAGTAGGGGGAGGGGCAATAAAGGGGCGGGGAGGAGGAGGTACTAACTGTTGGGTGCAAGACAGGCTCAAGGACAGTATACAACATGGGGAATATAGCTAATATTTTGTAATAAGTGTAAATGGAAATGATCTTTAAAATTGTATTTAAAAACTACCTATACAAGGAAAATTATCTTCATCACTATTATAAAAACTGATGAGGAAGGAGTCCTAGCCATAGCAGATGTCTTTCCTGCACCTGTTGCATTGCTGGCCCTGAGCTAGGAGCTTTTCACTGCATGTCATTTTTTAGTTCTCACAACAATCCTGTCATTATTTACATTGTTTAGAGGGGAAATTAAACATGTGTGGTCCTTGCCATGTATGGTTTTAAGGACACAACCTAAATAAATGAGGTACAGCTGCCCCCCATACCTGTGAGTTTCCTATTTGAAGATTCAACCAACTGTATATAAATTATATACATATATTTAAATTTTATATATATATTTTTTTTTTAAATTCAGGGCTTCCTGGGTGGCTCAGCAGTAAAGAATCCACCTGTGATGTAGGAGACTCAGTGGGTTCAATTCCTGCATTGGGAAGATCTCCTGGAGGAGGGCATGGCAACTCACTCCAGTATTCTTGCCTTGGAGAATCCCATGGACAGAAGAACCTGGCAGGCTACAGTCCATAGGGTTGCACAGAGTCGGACATGACTGAAGAGACTGAGCATGCATTTAAATTCAAGAAGTTTCCAAAAAGCAAAACTTGAATTTGGCACAGGTCCGCAACCTTTTCCATAGCATTTACATTGTATGTACAACTATTTACATAGCATTTACACTGTGTTAGGTATTATAAGTAATCTAAAGATGATTTGGGCTTCCCAGGTGGTGCTAGTGGTAAAGAATCTGCCTGCCAATGCAGGAGACATAAGAGACTTGGGTTCGATCTCTGGGTTGGGAAGATTCCCTGGAGGAGGGCATGGCAACCCACTCTAGTATTCTTGCCTAGAGAATCCCACGGACAGAGGAGCCCAGTGAGCTACAGTTCATAGGGTTGCAAAGAGTCAGATATGACAGAAACGACTTAGCACACACTCACAAAGATTATTTAAATGTTGCCAGAGGATGTATGTAGGTTACACGCAAAGATTACACCATTTATATGAAATGGGACAGATTTTGGTATCCAAGGGGGTCTGGGAACCAAGCCCCTGCATTTGCTGAGCGATGACTGTAGTTCTCACAATAATCTTGGGAAGTCAGTACTTTTATGGTGCTCATTTTCCAGATAAGCCTGAGCACAGACAGGTAGAGCAACCTGCCCAAGGTCACACAGAGGCTGAGCCAGGGATTTGAACCCAGAGCCAGGGTTCTTAACCACTTTACTATACTGTCTCTATATTTGCATAAAATCTCTTAGTTATAACAAAAAGTCACTTTAGCAGGGCCAGGCTACATCCCCCAGAATACTAATCCTCATCTCCCCAGGGGCTGCCAGAGCCACCTATGGCCACTAGTTGGGCCACCCTTTATGCAGATGAGTGTCCTGGGCTTTGTAAGTTGGGGAACCTGAGAGGGGCAACCAGCTCCTTCCTGCTCCTGTGGGGGTTAAAGTCCCAAAGCAGGATGCCACACACACCTGGGCCTCCTGCTGGGCAGTTAACTTCTTGCCTCTGGGCCTCAGTTTCTTCCTCTGTTCACTAGATTAATTTGGGATAGTCCCCTCCTTCTAGGATTGTGAAGATTCCATGAGGAAACCAATTAGAGCCTACCACATGGTAACTGATTGATATAGGGAGCTATTAAAATTATTATTGGGGGATTTCCCTGATGGTCCAGTAGCTAAGGCGTTGTGCTCCCAATACAGGGTGCCCAGGGTTTGATCCCTGGTTGGGGAACTAGATCCCACATGCCACATCCAAGAGTTTGCATGCCTCAACTAAAAGGTTCTGTGTGCTGGAACTAAGACCCAGTGCAGCCAAATAAATAAATATTTTTAGAAAATTATTCTTGGGACTTCCCTGGTGGTCCAGTGGTTAGGACTCTGCACTTTCACTGCAGGGGGCACAAGTTCGATGCCCGGTCAGGGAATTAAAATCCCACATGCCATATGGTGCAACCAAAAACAAATTATTATTATTATTACAATGAAATGGTATATATTAAGCTATACAAAACAATATCTTGCAGTTCAGTAATATTATATTGATACCTAGAGAGTTGTGTATAATGGACTGCTACATGTTACACAGTTAAATACAGATTTATGGATACAGCTGTACTATATGGCGCACAAGCTTGTACCACATTGTTGGATGATATAATGCATAATTATATAATTAGATATTTAGGCTAATATAATTATGCTATACAATCATATGTTTATTATACACTATATAATGCACACTTGTATATTAAGTATCTAAGTTTTTCCTTAGAATTGTGTATATAACAGAAATTATTCTGTGTCATTGGGCATTATATCACAAGATACTAATAGCATTTCTTTCTCCTGTTAGTCATCACTACTTGTTTTAGGACCCACCCATGTTGTTCCATGGACACCTTGTCTATGCCTGTGGGAGTTTTGCAGGCCCTTCTGGTGACTGTCTGCCTCCTGTTTATTCACCCTCTCATCTGGGGAGGTAACACCCAGGTTGCCTCCTGCTGCTGCTGCTGCTGCTGCTGCGTCGCTTCAGTCGTGTCCGACTCTGTGCAACCCCATAGACAGCAGCCCACCAGGCTCCCCCGTCCCTGGGATTCTCCAGGCAAGAACACTGGAGTGGGTCAGGTTGCCCCCAGCTCTCCCCAAATAACATTGCGGTGAACATCCTAGTATATGTCCCCAAGTGGAACCGAGGGATGCACATCCAGGAGCTAAGTGAGGGGTCACAGCTCCATGCACACATTTGATTTGACTGTATTGCCAAGCTGGGGCTTCCCTGGTGGCTCAGGTGGTAAAGAATCTGCCTGCAATGCAGGAGATCCGGGTTCAATCCCTGGGTCGGGAAGATCCCCTGGAGAAGGGAATGGCAACCCACTCCAGTACTCTTGCCCGGAGAATCCTATGAACAGAGGAGCCTGGCGGGCTGAAGTTCATGGGGTTGAAAAGAGTCGGACACAACCGAATGACTAACACTTTCACTTTCAGTGCCAAGAGGCCCTAAGGAAGGGCTGGCTGCTTGTCAGTACAGGAGGGTCCCCAAGTCCCCACAGTCTCAACCTCTACTTGGCATTTTTCCAAGTCTTAATTTTTGCCAGATGGACAGGATGATTCACTGTTCTTTCAATGTGCCCTTCCCTGATCCCTTACCAATAATTTCTAGCATCTGCTCAGGTGCCTGTCAGAGTTTTGGGTCTCCTCCTCACCTGCTCATCCTCTTTGCCCTGTTTTCTATCAGAGTGGCTGTCTTTTTCTCTTGCTGACTTGCAACTGTTCCTTTTTTATATACATTCTGGATATTCTTCTCATTGATTTTACTTTTTTATTTTTGGCTTTGCTGGGTCTTTGTTGCAGCATGCGGGCTTTTTCTAGTTGTGGCGCATGGGCCCTAGAGCACACAGGCTCAGTGGTTGCAGTATGCAGGTTTAGTTGCTCCACAGAATGTGAGATCTTAGTTCCCTAACCAGGGATCAAATAGGTATCCCCTGCATTAGAAGGTAGATTCTTAACTACCAGACCACCAGGGAAGCTCCTCTCATTGATTTTAGACATTTTAAATATAGTTTTTCCTCTCTGTCATTTGATATTTGTCCCACAGTGTCTTCAATTAAAAGAAATCTTTATTTGGATGTTATTAAATGCACCCTTTTTCTGCCTCATAAGTTTTTTGTGGTTTGCTTGAGAAGTCTTTTCCTTTGTGGTTGCTGGTGTTATTGCTGGTATTAACCATCCCCAAGGGCCATGGGGGTGGTACACATATATACCAGTGCCCAGAGCTTTCTGATCTCACTCCTTGATCCTCCTTTGAGTCCAGGAGGCCTGGAGACACTTTCTCACGCTGAGCTCAGTTCAGTCAGGGCCGTTACATCACCTTGTGTGAAGCAGGTGCCGAGGAGATTGGCTGAGAGTTACAAACAGCGCATCACAGAGAGCATCCTTGAGATTAGAGGAGAGAGAAGAGAAAATGCAGGAGGAGGAAAAAGGTGGAGAGGGTCTGAAACCGTATCACATGGCATGGAATGGAAAAGTTAAAGAGAATGTACTCTGTACTTGTCTAAATGTTCCAGTCTGGGAAAAAAAAAAATCCATGGTGACTTCTCTCAGTGGAAAAAAGAAAGGAACAAAAATAGACTTCTAGGAACTTCCTTGGTGGTCCAATAGCTAGAATTCTGCACTCCCTATGCAGGGGCCTGGGTTCAATCCCCGGTCAGGGGACTAGATTCCACATGCCTCAACCTAGGACCTGGTGCAGCCAAATAAATAAATATTTTTAAAAATAGACTTATATGAGAGCTTTGGTTGAATGGACTCACTTACTAGGTTTGGCAGAATCATGCTGCAACTACTACGCCACTCCTGGGTATCTACACTACAGAACTACGCACTGCTTCGTTCACCAAAAGACAGGGGATGGAATGGTCACAGAAACATTATTCACAGCAGCCCCAAACTGGAAACAACTAAAATGTCCATGACAGAAAAACTGATCAACAGATCATGAACGAATCACATGATGGAAGACTACACAGCAACCAAAATAATGAGCTACAACTAAATATAATACAGAAGAATCACAAAGACACCAGGTTAAACGAAGGAAGCCAGACACAATAGTTGATGCAGTTTATATATATAGCTCAAAACCAGGCAAAACCACTTTGCTAGAAATTAGGCTGCTGGTAACACAAGGGGGCTTATGGGAAACAGAAACATTCTCTCCCTTGATTTGTGTCTCATGGACATGTCCAGTTTGTCACCATTCAGCAACCTAAACACTTATGATTTGACTCTTTTTCGTACTTCCATTTAAAAATATGTCAAGCATGACACATTTAGGTAAACGGAAAAAAAAGCACACATACTCAAAAGAAAAGTCTGTTTCTATGAGCATGTTTCTATGTATTTAAACAAACTGGAGGCCAAAAGGTCAGATGAAAGCCAACCATGTGTCAGCCCTGCCTAAGAGGGACAGTGGGATGGGGTGGGGGCTCCCAGGGGGTTAGCTTTCATTTGCAATGTTTTGATAATAACAGTCTTTAAGATTGTGTGAGAATTAAATGAGTTAATATAACAGTGCCTTACAAGTGTGAGGCATACAGTAGGTGCTACAGGAGGTTTTCTTATGATAAAAGGAATAGAGTGAAAATGCTTTCTGGGGGCATAAGTGGCATTAAAACTAAGCTAGAAATAAAAGAAGAAGAAATATACAAAATACCATGTCTTGTGACTTTCCAAACTTCTGTGCATTGTTAGATGTAAGTATGTCCTTACAGAAATACAGACTTTTCTTTCGAGTATGTGTACATAAATGTGTCATATTAGGCATATTTTCTTTGAAAAGGGCTTTTATTGAAGCATGACAGTGACAGAACAGAGAATCACGGGTCTGGAGATAGAAAGATGGGGGAGATAGAGCCCGCCGGGTGACTGGGGGTGGGGGCCGGCAGCACCGGAAACCTCAGCCTGAAGGGATCCCCAAGTGGGGGGAGGGGGGACCTTTGGTCTCTCCCCAGCCTCTTCCTTCCCCCTGGCCTGGGGCTGGGTGGGGAGGGGCAGTTCCTCTTTCCTTCCCAAGCGCCGAGGAGGCCCCAGCTCCCAAGGGGCTAAGAAGCTGGAGCGGTGGTGAGGGGGGAGGAGCTGAGCCTCACTCTTATAAGACCCCCCTCCCCCCCCAGGAAGCATGAACAGGAAAGACAGCAAGAGGTGAGAGGACCCTCCCCAAGGAGACCGGGAGCTCCCTAAGCCCCCGGGTCTCTCTCGGGCTGCAGGGGAGGGTCGGGGAGGTTCTGACGAGGGGGGGCACGGTCGAGCTACTCTCGCAGCCGCCGCAGAAGCAGGGGGCGCCAGGTGGAAAGATGCTTCGGGGTGTCCAGAGACAGTTCAGGCTGGGGCTGTTGGCCCCGGGCGGCTGTGCCTTATCCTTGCTCTGCTGGAATTCAAGCTGCTCTGAGCCCATTCTCCCCCGCACCCTTCACGCCCCTCAATCATCCTGGCTCCCTAGGCTGGCTGTCTCTGTCCTCCTGGGGGTTTTCTTGGCTGCCCGCTGGACTGGAAACTCCAGACTCCTGCAGGGCCCTACCCTAGGGGAGGGGAGTGTGCCAAGGGGCAAGGCGGCTTCCCTGCCTCTTAAGCGACTCCTGGCTGTCCCCCATGCAACGGTGGGGGAGGTGGGGGGCAACAGTCGGAAGGTAAGGGCCTAGCAGCTGGTTATGCCTGCAGGTTCTAGAATAGGCTTCCTATAACCTGGACAAACTTGCCGTCCTGTCCTCACAGGGGCAATGGTGGCTGCATCCCTAGCTGGGGCAGCTTCTCCTTCCTCCCCCGGCTTGTCTCTGATAGCAAAAGGTCCCCTCCCCTATAATATCCAGGAGTTTAGTGGTGGAGACCTGGCTGCCTCATCCTCTGGCTGTGTGACCCTAGGTCAGTCACTTGCCCACTCTGTGCCTCAGTTTCTTCTTCAGTCAGTAGAGCAATCATAGCCCCTCTTCAGACAGGCTCATAAGCCCTCGGTGGTACAGCCTAGACCTGTGGTTCTCAAGCATGGGCACACATCAGAGCCACCTGGAGGCCTTCTAAAACACAGGCTTCTGGGCTCACCTCCAAGGTTTCTGACGTCGTAGGTCTGAGGTGGGGCCTGAGAATTTCTATTTATGTCAAGTTCCCAGGTAATGCTGCTGGGATTGGACCTCCTTTGGAAATCTCTGGTCTGAAGATAGGTGTTTACCTCCCTGCCCAGTACACAGTGGGTGCTCAGTAATGCCAGCTGTTACTTGACAACATTCAGTACTGATTTCCTGAGCCCTCAGGATGCTCCAGGGACATAGCAGTGCCCTTGTTATGGGGGGTCTCCCAATTTCTGTTCACCCCCATCCGCCCAGCCTGGCTTTCAGTTTGCTCCATCACATTCTCTCTCTGCGTCTCAAATCTAACTTTCCCACCCCTGGCCACTTAACAGCCTTAGCAAACTTAATCCCTTATTTAGCACTTTTGAAGAGCAGGGCATTGAATGTTTATAACAAATCCCTGGGAAAGGTCCCAAGATGACTTTCATTTTTCACGTGAGGAAACTGAGGTCTGAAGAAATGATGTCATTAACATAAAGTTACACAGCCAGCACAAATTTCTCCAACCCAGTCTTTTGGTTTTTTTTTTTTTTTTTGGCCTCAAGGCATGTGGGAGGTTAGTTTCCTAACCAGGGATTGAACTTGTGCCCCTGGCAGTGTAAGCACAGAGACTACTGCTGGACCAGCAGGGAAGGCCTCCCAACCCAGTTTTGTCTGAGTCCCGTGGAAGCCAAGGCTTTCTGCCTGGATTCTGCCCCTCCTTCCCTCACCACCCCCGTCTCCACATTACCCTTGCTCCCAGCTAGGACAGGAGCCTCAGGGAGGCGAAGTGCAGAGTGAGGGCTGCTTTTAAACTTCTTGAAGCTGCCGCAGCCGAGGGACCGCGCCCAGCTCTGAAGAGCCCTGGTGAGGCCACGTTGCACCCGTATCTTCTCTCCAGGCTCCAAATCTAGAGACCCAGGCTCCTAGCTGAGACTCCAGTCCTGCTGAAAGGCTGGCTTGGGGAAGGGGCCTGTCACCTTAGTGGGGATCACGGAGAGGGGGAGAAGAGAGAAATGAAATCTCAGGGGTCTGCTTCCCTCCTGAGGGCTCAGGGGACAAGGGGTGGGTGTTGGAAGGCAAAGGGGAATTCTTTTTTCTGTTTTTTTTTTTTCCAACTTTAAAAATTCAATAATTTAAATTTATTTATTTTCAGCTGCACTGGGTCTTCATTGCTTTTTTGCCTCGGCTTTCTCTAGTTGTGGTGAGCAGGGGGCTACTCTTCATTGGGGTGCTCGGGCTTCTCATTGTAGTGGCTTCTCTTGTTGCAGAACCCGGGCTGTAGGCGCATAGGCTTCAGTAGTTGTGGTATACAGGCTTAGTTGCTCCATGGCATGTGGAATCTTCCCGGTCTAGGGATCAAACTCATGTCCCCTGCATTGGCAGGTGGATTCTTATCCATTGAGCCAACAGGGAAGCCCTGCAAAGAGGAATTCTGAGGAGCAGCCCTGAAGGCAGAACCTTCCATGATTCCCCCTAGGGAGGACAAGAATAATTCTGGGGGTCTTCTCTCCATGATTCCCTGGAAGGTCTGGAGTAACCCATCTGCCAGCAGGAAGTCTCTTTCATGAGGTCTTGGGACACAGTCAAGGGGAATTTGGGGGCAGTGGCCGGTGGAGAAGAGGTCTTATGATTCCTGATGGGTCCTTACTAGTCCTGGGGGGTCTTCTCCCATGATTCCCTGGGGGGGCAATCAGGATAGCCTTAGGGTTTTTCCCCCTGGTTCCCTTGGAGTTTGCCTGTAGGAGATGGCTCCCATGATCTGGAGTACTGGGGTTTTCTCCTATGGATCCAATGCAGGTCAGGACTAATGCCAGCCCCTTGCCTTTAGGAAGCTTCTCCCAGGATGCCTTGGGGCTTTGGGGTGAAGAAGAATGTTGGGGGTCTGCCTGAAGGAAGGGACTCCCATGAATCCCCAGGGGATGTTCCCACAGGAAATCCCACCAGGAATGCCCAGGCAAGACAGGGGGGCGGGGGCGGCCCCGACAGGCCCGCCGCCACAAGACATGCCCCAGCCCCCGGGAAATCAGCAAGGTCATGGCTTCCATGGCTCTGGGTATGCTGAACGAGGGCGGCTGCAGTGAAGATGAGCTGCTGGAGAAATGCATTCAGTCCTTTGGTGAGTCTCCCCCGTCCCTGGCCAGCCTCCCCCAAGTCTGAGCTTGGGCCAAGCACCCACCTCTCTCCGGGCTCAATTTGAGGGGTACAAAAACAGGAGCAGGAGTATGTGGAATGAATCTCAATAGTAGGAACACAAGAGATACCTGTGTTTCATTTTCCTGACCTGCATGGATGGGGCGGCAGGGTGGGGGTGGGGGGGTCTGACTCTTATTTCCATCTTCAGCATGACTTGCCAGGCACGATGTTGGTCCATGCACAGTCCAGACGAGGAAACTGGAGCACAAGGAGGCCAGGTTGTGTGCCCGAGCTCACAGACGGAGTCACTGGTAGAACTGGGGTTTGAACCAGGCTGTCCACCAGGGGCCATTCTGACCCAGAGTCCCCTTCTCCTGCCTGCAGACTCGGCTGGCAGCCTGCGCCGCGGGGACCACGTTCTCAACATGGCACTTGCCATGCACAGCTGGGTGCTGCCTTCTGCCCACTTTGCTGCCCGTCTGCTGACCTTATATCCTCCCGGGGCCATAAGCAGTGGGTGGAGGGCGGAGGACAGAGATGTGAGAGCCCGTGGGGACGGGGTGAGCAGTTAGGTCTGAGATGCTGGATGACCGAGCCTTGACCGGAACTCAAGTACCAGGAGGCCACAGGGAGCACGCAGGAGCTGAGACGGCTGCAGATCTGTCACCTGGTCAGGTAGGCCTGGGCCAAGACTCCACGCCCATGATGACCCAGGATCTTCACCGTGCTGCCACCACCCAAAAAACACTTCCCAGAGACTATGCAGTCCTACTGCCCTACATCCCACTTCTGAGAAACCCCTGGCTTGTTTCCTAAAACCTCCCATTTCTCCTCCTTAGAACCCTCACTTCTTAGAGACCCCTGACAAGATCCTATGGACCCTTTCCCAGCTGGTACCCCAAGACCTCCAGCTCAGATTCCTGAAACTCCTGAAACCTCCCATGTACCCACCTAGCTTCTAAGATTCTGCTCACCCTGTTACCCCAAAATCTCACCCCCTAGGCCCCCAACCTAGTCCCTGAGACCCACCCCCTCTATTGTGCTTTCAAACCACTTCCCAGAGATTGCCCAGTCTATCCTCCATAGATCCCTCAGCCTGTACTAAGAGGCCCCCAGTCCTACTCCCAGGGCTCCTCCCAGCCTGGTGTCTCTCTGAACCCTGGCCTTCCAGAGACCCCCCTGTACATATTTAGAGTCACCACCCCCAAGCCCAGCACCTAGAGATCCCTCAGCCCGAGACCCCTGTCAGAGACCTGCGCCCCTCCCCCTAGCCCCATCCCACCACCTCTAAACCACCCCCCAGGTACTGGCTGACCCAACACCCTGAGATGATGCACCAGGACCCCCAGTTAGAAGAGGTTATAGGCCGCTTCTGGGCCACTGTGGAGCAGGAGGGTAACTCAGTCCAGCAGAGCCTAGGAGACTTTTCCAGTCGGTGAGTCAGCCCCTTCCCCTCCCTACCGACACCCCAACACCTCCCACCCTGAGTCCCTCTAATACCCTGCCTCTCTTTGCCCCCAGGCTGAGCCCGGGTGGCCCAGGCCCCCCACACCCCATGAGCAGCCCAGGCCTGGGCAAGAAGCGCAAAGTGTCCTTGCTTTTCGACCACCTGGAGACTGGGGAGCTGGCAGAGCACCTCACTTACCTGGAGTTCCGGTCCTTCCAGGCTATCACAGTAAGGACCCCTCTCCTCCCAACTGGAGATGGCGTAGGGTGGAGCGGGGCCGGGCTGGGGCCAGGCAGGACTGAGAGGACCCAAACTGTCAAACTTGGGTGCTAGAGGGTACAGGAAAATGAGTTAAGCTGGCTGAGTACAGAGCCCCCAGGGTTCACATCCCATCAGCACCTTCCTACCTGTGTGACTTTGAATTAGTTTCTCAGCCTCTCTGGGACTCAGTTTTCTCATGTGTAAAAAGGAGGTCATAATATTTCATTGGCTTGTTGGGGAAATTAAATTAATATGTCCATTTAAAAATGCTCATCACAGGGGACTACTCTGGTGGTCCAGTGGCTAAGACTCTGCTTTCAATTCAGGGGGCTCAGGTTCGATCCTTGGTCAGGAAACTAGATCTCACATGCCGCAACTAAGAACCAGTGCAGCCAAATAAATAAATATTTTTAAAAGGCTTGTCACAGTGCCTGGCACATAGTAAGTGCTCAAAATATTTTTATTAATTGTTCATTTATTTGAGAAGCATTTAAATACCCTGTGCTTTGGCCTGTTTTCTGTAAAAGGGGGACTTAGTTCCTGCCCCATAGGTACCTGGTGGCTCAGATGGTAAAGAATCCACCTGCAGTGCAGGAGACCTGGGCTCGATCCGTGGGTAGGGAATGCCCCTGGTGAAGGGACCCACAACCCACTCCAGTATCCTTGCCTGGAGAATCCCATGGGCAGAGGAGCCTGGCGGGCTACAGTCCATGGAGTCACAAAGAGTTGGACACAACTGAGCAACTAACACTCATTTTCATAGAATCAGTGCCTGATCCAGAGTAAATGCCATCCAGTTGAACACTTGAAATTGGCATAGTTTGACATATTTTACCTACTCAAATGATCATTTAAAATGCTTCAAACTATGTATGTATTTAGTTATTGCCATCTTGACGTCATTTTGAGGGCAGGTGGGGACCTGTCTCCTTAATGTGAAAATTTCCTGACTGTACACTGCAGTGGATGTGGGTATGTAATGTTGATCCCTTGTGCAGAACAAATAGCAGTTAGTTCTGTATCCTCTTCTGTACACAAGTCAGGTATACTGTTGAGGGCAATAGACTGGGTTCCCATTGTGACTTGGGCCTGTGTGACCCTGGGCAAATTACTAAGCCCCTCTGTGCCTCAATGACCTCATCTGTAAAATGGGAATCATATAATATTCAATTCATCAACTTGTAAGGCTATGACAGAGGGCTCAGAATAGTGCCCAGCTTTCCTTAAACGTCTCTCCTCAGATGAGAGGGGACCATGGTGACATGTGATGGCCTGGCTAGGACATAGGAGGTCGTGACTGCTTGGTGTACGGGCGTGTGAGGGGTAGGGCCTGAGTGCCAGGGCCCTGAGCGCCAGGGCCCACCCTGACGCCCACCTCTCCCCCAGCCCCAGGACCTGCGGGACTACGTTTTGCAGGGCTCTGTGCGGGGCTGCCCGACCCTGGAGGGCTCCGTAGGTCTCAGCAACAGCGTGTCCCGCTGGGTGCAGGTCATGGTGCTGAGCCGTCCGGGGCCTGCACAGCGAGCGCAGGTGCTGGACAAGTTCATACACGTGGCACAGGTGAGACCCGCCTTCTGAACACCTGCCCCGCGGGGCTCTTGGGCTGTGACGTCACCATCTCCTGGCCCCGCCCTGCCGCCTCTCGTCCCACCCTGGCCATGCCCCAGAGGCCTCAGTCCCATCGTTCCAACTCAGGACTGTGATGGCACTTCTTCCCTGGCCTTGATTTCACCTCGCAAACCCGCCATGGCCCCACTCCTTGGTCCCAGACGTGGCAGGTGACGACGTTCGTCCTGACCCCGTCACCCAAGCCCTGTGCCCAAATATTCTGTCGCCAGGACAACGGAAGAGGAGGCTCTTTCTTGCCTCCACCTTTTGCCTCATCCCCTGCCCCGGTCCCTAGGCCCCAGCTGCCTCTTCAGAACAGTGACAGCATCCGGCCCCATCACTGCAGGTCTCCCTAGGCCCCGCCGCGCCCTCCTCCCCCCCGCCCCTTCCCCCCCCCCCCTCCTCCTAGGTTCCCTCCCTTCTGGAGAAAAGGGAAGCCCTCCTTCCCCCAGCTGGCCGCGCCCCCTTGCGTACTTCCTCGCAGACCACGCCCTTCCTCTGGCGTCTTTCCTCGTCTTGCTTCCCCTCCTTGGCCGGCTAGACTTAGAGGTTCTGGCCTCTACCTGGGGTCTCCTCAGTCTGAGCATCTTATTTCTCCCTGGCCCCACCTTCTCCCCCCAGCGACCTCCGCTCTTAAACTTGAAAAAGGGGAGGATGAGGCTATTGCTCCTGATGACTGGCTGACCCCGCACCTGTCTCTCATCTACCTGACCCCTCCGTATCACTCTAGCCCCATTCACCTCTGCCCGGCCCCTAACTCCCGCCCAGAGCACAGGCCGTCTTACCCCTCTTCACCTGACTCCCAGGGCAGAGACTGCCTACTTGCCTGACACCCTAACATCTCTCTGAATCCTCCACGCCTGACACAGACCTGTTGAGTCCCCAAACCGGTCCAACTCCCCGTACTCGCCTGACTACCCCCACTTTCATCTGACTTCACATTAGTCTATTATCTGCATGACTCCCGGGTAATGCCCACATACCTGCTTGCGGCCCACCCCTGCCTGACACATCTCACCTGTCTGATGCCTACATAGCACCCCTCCCCACATGCTTAAGACTTCATCTCAGCTGGGGGGATGCTGTCACTTGAACCCCCAATTTACCTGTCCTCCGTGTGGTACCCACCACTTCTGCATCACCTTCTCTCCCTAGAGGCTCCTCCAGCTACACAATTTCAACACGCTGATGGCAGTCACAGGAGGCCTCTGTCATAGTGCCATCTCCAGACTCAAGGACTCCCATGCCCACCTGAGCCCTGACAGCACCAAGGTGAACCCCCACTTCCCTCCCCAAAGTTCCAGTGATCAAGTACCCTGGACCCCCACACTTTTCCCAACCTCCTCCACCCCTTCCCAGGAGCCCTGGAGCCACCTGGAGACCTTGCTTCTCCAAATCCGACAGACCCCAGGCTTTGTCCTCCTCTGTCACTCTTGCTCCCTCTTCACCCATGGTGCTGACCTCTCTCTACTGAGTGTCTGGTCCTGAGCGGCACTGGAGGGAGACAGATAAGAGATGCTAGCAGAGAACTTGCAGTCTAGGTGGGGAGTGAAATGATGGCTCCAGGGATACCAACATTTGGGCCACCCATGGGAGGAGCATGGGTTGGGGGTATCCTGAAAGTGTCTTTTTTTTTTTTTCTTAAGTGTCTTAAGGAGAGTGCGTCATCCATGAGTCTGGTGTGTGGCTGAGGTCAGGACATGGCAGGATATTAGGCTAGAGATGCCCCAGGGTGGGGGGCAGGGAGGATCCTGTTGTCATTTGCAAGTTCAGCTAAGGTGTCTGGCCTTTATCTAGAGGGCAGTGGGGAGTTAGGAAAGATGACAGCACCCATGATCAGAGTTGGGTTTTTGAAAAATCACTCTGGCCTGGGGAATGGGAGATAGTGGGGCCTTTATGAGATGGGGACCCAAGAAAAAGAGCAGTCTGGGTAGTGCTGAAGCCAGTGTGGGACATGGAGGGGCTTGGGGAGAGTTCCAGGATGCCACTGGGCCCCTGGGGGTCCAGAGGCTGGTGGATACTCCCCTTCAGGGAGCTGGGGGAACAGAGCCAGCCTCCCCCATTCCATGCCCCTCCCACACAGGCCCTGCTGGAGCTGACAGAGCTCCTGGCAGCCCACAACAACTACGCCCGTTACCGCCGCACCTGGGCTGGCTGCACGGCCTTCCGGCTGCCTGTTCTGGGAGTGCACCTCAAGGATCTGGTGGCCCTGAATGAGGCGCAGCCTGACAGGTTGCCTGATGGCCGCCTGCACCTGCCCAAACTCAACAGTCTCTACCTGCGGCTGCAGGAGCTGGCAGCCCTGCAGCGACAGGAACCCCCAGGCAGTGCCAGTGAGGACCTTCTGCACCTGCTCACGGTGAGCTGCCCTGAGCTGCCACGGCTGAGCTCCCAAAACTGCACCTGTAGGGCCCTGAGATTTAGGATCCTGGTGGATGAAGGTCAGGACAGAATAGTAGAATAGCACTGGAATGCATGGGCTTTGAAGCCAGAACTTGTAAGTTTTGTTTTTGTTTTCTCCTGTGTGACTCAGGCAAGTCACTTAACTCCTCAGCCTCAGTTTCCTTAACTGCAAAATGGGAATACTAATAGGACCTACTTCAGAGAGTGATTGAAAAGAATCAATAATATAATTCATGTAAATATCACTCATATAGTTCACACAAAGTACTTAAAATAGTATCTGGAACACAGTGAGCTCTATATAAGTAATGCATTTTGGGGGACTTCCCTGATGGTCCAGTGGCTAAGACTCCAAGCTCCCAATGCAGGAGCGCCCAGGTTCGATCCCTGGTCAGGGAACTAGATCCCACATGCTGCAACTAAGAGTTTGCACACCACAACTAAAGATCCCACATGCCACAACTAAGACCTGGCACAGCCAAATAAAATGTGTTTTTCCCCCAATTCGCCAAGGAACTCAAACTTCCATTGATCTGAGCTCCAGCATTGCTTTGGGCTTTTGTACTCCTAAACTTCAAGGTTCTGAGCTTCACACACCAACAGATCAAAATTCCAAGCTATAACATATTCAGGAATCTAAGCAAAAAGATAATAAGTTATTAATCATTTTCTGTGTGCCAGACACCATGTTAAACAGTACCCAGAGAGCACCTCATTCCATCCTCACACCCCTACAAGGAAGGGATCCTTATTTACCCATTCTACAGACTGGAAACTGAGGCCCACAGACGTAAGGCCATTCGCCTCCTGTCCCACAGCAGGCCAGCTTCAGAACATGAGTGTTAACATATGTTAACCATCACACTATGTCCCAAGACTGCGAGTGTGCAGTTCTGGCTACATTTTGTTTTACATAGATAGATAGGAAGATAGAGGATTTCTTTCTAAAGAGCAATAAATTGACAGAGACTGGGATTTGGAGGACCATGTAGTCAAAGACTGAAAAGTTGACTTTCAAATCCTAAGTCAGGACCACCAGCAAATTGAAAATGTGGGGCTCCTTGTTTGAAATTATTGAGAATTTCAAGAGGGTGACAGCAGGGCCTTAAATGAACCGAAGGCCCTTCTACATGTGGGGCCTGCCTCTGAAGCTGGTCCTGTCCTCTGATGATTGATGCCTAAGCTGCTATGCTTTGCTGGCTCTGAGGCCATCAGCCCAAATATTTATTGAGCACCAGCTGTGAGCCAGGCATTACTTTAGGCACTTAGGCTCACAGCAGTGTGTGCATTGGGCGGGGCGGGGGGGGGGGGCGGATTGCTGTCTTGTGGGGCTGACTTCCTTGTGGGGGAGATAGCCAGTGAAAAAAGTAAATAAGTAAATCATATGGTCTTTTAGATAATAGGTGCTATAAAGAAAACTAAAGCAGAAACAGACAATGAAAAGTGATAGAGGCTTGCAATTCTAAATAGGATCAAAAAAACCTCAATGAGAATATGGTGTTTCTGGACTAGGAGGCCAGGAGTATGGAGAGTGAATGGGGGCTCAGTGGGAGAAAGGACCATGGGGGACCCAGGAGAGAGGGGTTTTGGAAAGAGGAGGAGATTGGGGGTCCGGGCAGTCCTAACTTGCAGGGAGGAGGATGGACACAAGGAGGATCCTTAACATCCTGCCCATCCCCAGCTTTCCCTGGATCTCTTCTACACGGAGGACGAGATCTATGAGCTTTCCTATGCCCGGGAGCCCCGCTGTCCCAAGAGTCTGGTGAGACCCCATCCCTGACCTCTGACCTCCAGCACAAGCCTCTGCCCTGACTAACTGTGCCCCTCTGTCCCTGCCCCAGCCACCCTCCCCCTTCAAGGCACCCCTGGTGGTGGAGTGGGCCCCTGGTGTGACACCCAAGCCTGACACGGTCACTCTGGGTCGGCATGTGGAGCAGCTGGTGGAGGTGAGGAGGAGCCCTGAGCTGGAGGAGGGATCTAAGACTGTGGGGACCCTGGGGACTTCCCTGGTGGTCCAAGGGTTACGACTCCACACTGCCAATGCAGGGGGCACAGGTTCGATCCCTGGTCAAGGAACTAAGATTGCACATGCTGTGGGGTGTGGACAGAAGATTAAAAAAATTAGATAATGGTGGAGACCCTGATCTGACCTTACTCTTCCCTTCCCATGCTCCTCCCAAGTCTGTGTTCAAGAACTATGACCCTGATGGCCGCGGCACCATCTCTCAGGAGGACTTTGAGCGACTCTCAGGCAACTTCCCCTTTGCCTGCCACGGCCTTCACCCACCCCCCCGCCAGGGGTAGGTGCTCCCGACTCCTGGGTTCCCGTAAGATGAGGACCTGGGGTAGCCAGGGCTCCTGGGTCTGGGAGAACAGGGCCAGGCCTGCTAAAGTACAGTCTCTCCCCCAGGAGCGGCTCCTTCAGCCGTGAGGAGCTGACAGGATACCTGCTCCGGGCCAGTGCCATTTGCTCGAAGCTGGGCCTGGCCTTCCTGCACACCTTCCAGGAGGTCACCTTCCGCAAGCCCACCTTCTGTGACAGCTGCAGTGGCTTCGTGAGCATTCTGCCCACCGTCACCCTGAGGGCCCCCTCCTGGAGCGCCCTAACTGTTCACAGCCTGGGCTGGGAAAGCCAACCCTCGCTTGTGGCGCTCACAACCCCCAAGCCCCAGATAATCCCCATATTTAGGAAAATCCTCCAGCCTCAAATAGTCCCCGTACTTCACAGGGAAGCCTGGTGCTTCAATTCGTGGGGTCACAAAGTCAGAAACAACTGAGCGACTCAACAACAAACACTTCACAGAAACCCTAAATAATGGATATTCCCTACACCCTGGGTAATTCTGAAGTCTAGATAATGCCCAAATCCCAATCTCCATCCTGGATAATTGACAAACCCTGGATAATAAGGGCTTTCCAAGTGGCACAGTGGTAAAGAATCCACCTGCCAATGCAGGAGTCATTGGAGACACAAGTTTAATCCCTGGGTTGGGAAGATCCCCTGGAGGAGGAAATGGCAACCCACTCCAGTATTCTTGCCTGGGAAATCCCACAGAGGAGTCTGGTGGGCTACAGTCCATGGGGTTGCAAAGAGTCAGATACAACTGAGCATCCACCCACTGGACTGGATGGGTAGATGATCTGCAAACTGAATCAGGCTCCCAAGTCTCTAGGCCTCAGATGATTCAAACGTTACGATTTCCAAAACAAGTTGGATTTGGAAATCTGTCCTCCAATCTGTGGAATGGACAGATCTCTCACTCCCAAACCAAGACCAATTCGCAAACCTTGGATTGCTTTCCAAATTCACTTTTTCATTCACTGAATAAACAATGAGCACCTCCAGGGTGCTAGGCACAGTTATAGACTCTGGGCGGGGATGGAAGGGGACAGGCGGAAACAGAACAGACACAACCCCTGCCCATAGGATTTACGTTTTATTAACTCCAGATTTTGTCCGATTCTCATATCATAGGTGACTGTCCAAACTTGGGATAAATTTCCAAATTCATTTAGTCTCCCAGACCCCACATAGGCCTCTAGCCTTGGGAACTTCCAAAACCTGGATGGTTTCCTCCAGACCGCCCTTATCCCTACCCCAATCACAGCCCTCCCTGTCCTAGCCTAGGTAACCTGTTCTGCTCTCTCTTCCCAGCTTTGGGGTGTCACCAAGCAAGGCTACCGCTGTCGGGGTGAGTGGAACATCAGTAGAGAAAGGGGAGCTAGGACCTGCAAGCTGGAAGAAGGGGGACGTGGACTGGGCCTCTGGCACTAACCTCTGAATCTCCCCCAGACTGTGGGCTGTGTTGCCACAGACACTGCAGAGACCAGGTGAAGGTGGAGTGTAAGAAGAGGCCAGGGGCCAAGGGCGATGCGAGTCCCCCGGAAGCCCCTGTCCCATCCACTCCAGTTCCCCAGGCCAGCTGTGGTAAGACCCAGGGTGTGGCAGTCCTGGGAAAGGGGGCCTGGTGGACGGATGGGGATTCATTCTGCGGTCATGAGGCCTTTCCCATCATACCTACGTCCCTCCCATCTGCACCCCTGCACACAGGCTCTGAGGACCATCTCTCCTACACGCTGTCCCTGGAACCTGAGCCTGGGTGCCACGTCCGCCATGCTTGGACCCAGACAGAGGCCCCACACCCCTCCTGGGAACCAGAGACGGTGAGGAGGAACTGCCCCCAGCCCCAACTGGATACCGGGAGACCAGCCTAGTTGCCTGGGGGAACCCAGACAAGACTTGGGGAAGCACAGGAAAGTGAAACGATGCAAAAGTCCTCAACTGCTTGGGTAGGAGGGTGTAGATATGGGTTAATTTTTAATGTTGATAGCAATTTCAGTATGTTGGTGGGGAGGGGAAGGGGTAACCCTTAGTACAAAAGAAAAAGTGAGTTTAGGAAGAAAAACAAAAAGAAAACCAGAAGATGTCAAGAATAAGGCCAAATAGATCAGACACTATTAATAAATAGTGGAGTAAATTCCCCTCAGTGAACCTGAACATCGTACACTCCCCACGTCACCCCATGTTATCCTCCTTCCAGGTCCCTCTGCCAGCGAAGGCCTCACCACCCACTGAGTCCTCCAAGCTGAACTCCTAGATGTTGCCTTGGTCTCATCTCTTCCCCACTTCCTCCTCCAGAGTCAGTCTCAAGTCCTATTATTCTGTCTCCTTCCCATCCACATGGCCTCTGTTGAAGCTTCTGTCCTGTCTTACTCCAAAAGAAAGTTATTTTCTTCTTTTGCATCAGAGTGGCTGTTAATTGTATTCCCTTTTCTTGCATGTGATATCCATGCAGCTCTGTGTTGGATACGTTTAGACCTAGCCTAGGTGGCTCAGTGGTCAAGAATCTACCTGCCAGTGTAGGAGACGGGTTGGATCCCCGGGTTGGGAAGATCCCCTGGATGAAGGGAATGGCAGCCCACTCCAGTCTTCTTGCCTGGAGAATCCCATGGACAGAGGAGCCTGGCAGGTTATAGTCCATGGGGTCGCCAAGGGTTGAACACGACTGAGTGACTAAACATCATCATCTTGCCAAGTCCTTAAATTCCCATTTTACAGATGAGGAAACAGGCTCAGCAAGGTCAAACTGCTCACCAACATGGACAGAACTCCTGAATGTTAAGTGTCAGGACTCACACCCAGCTTGTCCACCTCTCACATGGAAGCTACTGACCAATATACTGCACTGATGTCAGCACGGGTCAGGAGCAGGAAGGGACAGCGGGTAGAGTTCCAAACTCTGAGGTGGGAGAGAAGGCCAGAGAAAGGGTAGAACAGGGAGGGAGCCTCTGAAACCTAAGTCAGATCAAATCCCTTCTCTGCTTAGAGCCTTCCGGTGGCTCCATCTCACTCAGGAAAACCAGAGCTCTCACTGTGCCCCACCCCACATGGTCTGCCCCTATTACCTCTCCAGCCTCCCCTCCCAGCACTCACCCCTCACTCATCCTGCTTCAGCTACACTGGCCCCAGTGGTCGCTGATCATGCCCAAAACTACTCCTACCTCAGGACCGTTGCACAGGACACTCCCTCTGCCAGGAGGGGGGTCCACGTGGCTCCCTCTCTGGGGTTTAGGTCAAGTATCACCTTCTTAGTGAGCCCTCCCGGGATCACACAAAAGCTGCAATTCCCCCCATAGTCCCCCAATCCTGCCTTCCTGCTTTATTTCTCTCCAAAGCCCTTTCCTCATCTGACAAACTAAACTTTCTTGTCTGCCCTTCCTCACCAGAAAGGTAGCTCCAGAAGACCAGGGAGTTTTATTATCTGTATCCCCAGTGCCTAGAACAGGGCTGGCACACAGTGGTTACTGACAGATATTTGTCCAATGCCTGCCTGTCTCCTGCCCCATGCCCACAGGAGCAAAGGTTGTTGCTGAAGAGAACGGGACTTGAAGGGTCAGAGCAGCAGGGGCCTGTTCAGACCCAGGGGACAGAGACCTCCAATCACCTCAAACCTGAGCACCCCTGACCTGGCCCCCACAGAGACAGGTCCTAGGACTGTCATAAATTAGATTTATTTTCCAGAGAACACGGTCCTTGGTGTTGAATGGCAGATGCAGGGAGGACTTTTGGGGCCTCAGGAACAGGGAATATGGGGCTGGGATGCCAGGTGCCAAGAGAAACCCTCAGAGTGACCCCTTGGAGATTAGCATTACATGAAGGAACCCTCTCCGCAATCACCAGTCCCTCTTTACTTCTTCTTCTTCTTGCGGCCCCAGCACTGACGGCCTGCCTTCCGCCCGCCTCCGTCCTCTCTTCTGCTCTGCCAGCTGGGCATGGGAGCCTCCAGCTCATTTGGGCGGCCCCCCCGGTCTGGAACACTGCCCATAAGCACCTGAGAGATTATTAGATTTGAGTTTCAGAGAAGAAAAATATCTTGAACAAGGGGACCAGAGACCCAAGAGAACAGCAGGAAGGGAAGGGCAGATTTTGGGACTTCCCTGGTAGTCCAGTAGTTAAGACTCCACACTCCCAATGAAGGGGGCACAGGTTTGATCCCTGGTCGGAGAACCAAGATCCTGCATGCTGCATGGTACAGTGGTGGGGGCTGCGTGGTGGGAGATACAGTCCTGGAGCTTTCAGTCAAGGGGCCTCAGCAAAAGGGGAATAAAGGGGAGGGTGATGATAAGAGGCCCACATCCCCAGAAATATGAATGAAGGCACTTCAGCTTTTGTCTGTTTCATATTTGGGCTTTGTATAACATTTCCAGAAAATCAGTGTTTTGGTTTTTTTTCTTAACTTAAAATTTTGCTTCACTTTTTGCTGTGCTAGATTTTATGCCCTAAGAATCATATGTGTGCTCAGTCATTTCAGTCAGGTCCGATTCTGTGATCCTGTGGACTGTAACCCGCCAGGCTCCTCTGTCCATGGGATTCTCCAGGCAAGAATACTGGAGTGGGTTGCCATGCCCTCCTCCAGGAGATCTTCCTGACCCAGGAACTGAACCTGTGTCTCTTATGTCTCCTGCATTGCAGGCAGGTTCTTTACCACTAGTGCCTGCTAGGAAGCCCAGGTCATATAAGACTATTTAAACAGAGAGGTAGGAGGCTAAATTTTGGCCTAATCATTTGAACAGAGGGTAGTTTTGCTTTTAAAAATGGTTAAGAGACTTCTCTGGTGGTCCAGTGGCTAAGACTCTGAACTCCCAGTCCAGGGGGCCCAGATTCGATCCCTGGTCAGGGAGCTAGATCCCACATGCTACAACTAAGACCCAGAGCAGCCAAATAAATAAATTAAAAAAAATTTTTTTAATAAATAAATAAAAATGGTTAAGACCCAAAACAACAGACAGACTGAGGTGATGGGGAGGATTTTAAGCCAAAGCAGGAGAGGTGGGCAAGGATTCAGTAAACAGATGGACTTTGTTTTGAAGGGCACTGGGGAGTCATAGAAGGGTTTTGAGCTGGGGAAGGACATGGTCAGATTTTTGAGTTGGAAAGTTCCTTCTAAATGCCATGTGGAGAGGGAAGGATAGAGTGGTGAGTCCAGAGGCCAGGAACCTAAGGAGAAGGCCAGAGCAGCAGCCCAGGCAGGAGAGGACAAGCTCGTCCAGGGCAGAGGCAGCTGAAAGGCCAGTTTGAAGGCCAAGGGTGTTTGGCGCCCTTCCCCAGTCCCAGGTGCTCACCTTGTTGATGGCACAGCAAGTCCCTCGGCGGGCAGTCTTGCTAGTGGCTTGGACAAGGCGAGACAGATCAGCTCGGGCAGCCAGGACGTGTGCAATGGAGACATCTGATTCTGAGGTCAGAGCCTCTCGAATTGGGATCAGTACTGCCTTCATGGCCTCTCCTTGGGCCTACAAGTTAGTGGGAGAACATACCCATGAGCCCTCCCCAGATGGGACCTGTAATCTTGAAAGCATCTCTCTTCCCTTCTCAGGCCCACATCTTTTTTTTTTTTTTCAATATTTCATTACGATTTTTGTTTGTTTTATCAAAGTATAGTTGACTTAGAATGTTATATGCTTCCTACATCTTTTATGTATGTTTTTTTGGGGAGGAGGCATGCCACGCAGCATGCAGCACCAGGGATCCTAGCTCCCCAACCAGGGATTGAAGCCCTGCCCTCTGCAAGGGAAGCATAGAGTCTTAACCACTGAGCTGCCAGGGAAGGCCCTCACATCTTTTAATAAGGAGTGCTGCTCTAAATACCCTCCCTGCTCAGACCAGGAAATTCTAGAATGCCCTGGGGGCCCAGAGATTCCAGATCCCCAACCTCACAGTATTCTAAAATGTCCTAAGTCTCAGAATTAGCAAGAGGGTCATATTCCTGGCCCTCCCTTCCTCCCCGCTGCAGCCGCAGCTCCCACAATTGCTCCCGCCTAGGTCTTCTGCCCACACCTCAGCCCGATCACTCCAGTGGAAAGCAGATGTGGTGAGGTCAAGGCGCTTGAGGAGGAGGCAACGGCGGCAGCCGTACTGATCCTGCAGGCTTTGGGACAGAGACGCCAACGCTTCCTGGGGGGAAAGGTCTCAGTCACTCCAGGGGTCGCCCTCACTCCCATCTCTGGATGAGAACACTCTTCACTTAAAGCCATACACAACCTTACCCATCTGGGTGCGTCCAGTGGGTGATTGAGGAGGGGCTGCAGGTACTCTGGGGGCAGGGAAGGCAGCAGCTCGGAGATCTGATGGGAGAAGGAGGAAGATAGAGTTAACTGCACAGAAATCGGATAGACTCCTCTGTGAACCCCAGTTCCCTATGACCCTGAGGACTCCGGCCATAGAACCAAGAATGGCAGTCACAATTCTGCTGATGAAAACATCAGAGCGGGTGGCACTCCTCCTGGAGCCTCTTTTGGAGAGGGGGCTCTCCCCCTGCGAGGAAAGTGGGGTGGCCCCGGTGTGGAGGGAACTCTGGCTACCTTGGCATGCAAGTCCCGAAGCAGCTGACAGGCTGGGGTCCCCCGCGTGGGTCTGGGCAGCCCCAGGGCTTGGAGAGTAAGCATCAGTTCCTGGACCATGTCAGGTCCCTCCTCTGCCCCCTCCCCACAGAATGGCTCAGGGTTGGGATCCAGACGGGAGCGCAGGCGGAGGAGGCGGGCGGCCTGGACCTCGGAGCAGAGAAAGCCTAAAAGTAGGGGAAAGGAGCAGTGCAATCAAGGAGGGCCACCACCCCACCTACCCGGGGCGAAAAGTTCAAGCGGCTTCGAAACTTCCCGCCTCCTAGTTCCACCCACCTAGAGCCCTGACTCCACCACCAGGATAAGCTCCACCCACTTCGAGACCTAGCTCCTTCTGCAGAATTCAAACCCTGCCCACTTCGGAACCACCCTGTCAGACTCCGTTACCCAATTTACCTGAGCTTCAAGAATCTCCATCAGAATCCTAACCCCGCCCACCTCAGAGCCCTTAGCCCGCCCCAGTGTTCTACTCCACCCGCCTCCCACCCGCTCGAACGCCTCAAAGTTTTGAGCATGCCCCCTGGGGACTGGGGGAATCCTGGCTCCACCTCAACGTGCGGAGCTCGCCCAGCTAGAGGCTGTAGCCTCGCCCACTTCCGCATCCCGGCCCGCCCCCCAGCTCACGCAGCAGGCGCAAGCGCGCGTTGGGTTCCCGCAGTGAGGCCGCGCAGTCCCCGCCGCAGAGCTCGTGGTCCGGGCA